CCCTTTTCCTGTGCGTTCTCTTTCAGAGGGACTGGCTGAATTCTTCTAGTTTTAATCAAAGGAGCATGTATCCTGTTAACAATTTCCAAATGGTAAGAAGACAGTGTTTGTAATGTTTGGTTTGCTAGGGAAATCAAAACGATATAACAAAGAGATGTGGCTGTTCTGAATCGGTGTAGAGGCCAAGGACTTCAAAATTCACTTTAAGCTCATGTTACGCTGCTCCTATTTCTTTAAACCCTTCCATTTCTATCCCAAGCTCCTGTTGGAGTCTTGCTGTATCCTCAAGTTCTGTTTCAACAATGCTGCTTAAATCAAATGCATCCTGTATCACTTACTAAGGTTTCATCTATGCATAACTTACTGGGAATTACGGCTGATTCAGCATGCACAAGATTGCAGACCAGGGGCTAGAACCAGTGCTACTGGTCCCAGATCTTTCTCTCCTCAGCAGTTCCATCCAGTCTTGGGAAAGGTGATTCCTGGAGCGGTGGCAATAGGGAACTACTACAGTCTGATACGATGAAGAGAGGAATATGATGACTAATGCTTTTTAATAGTTATAACCTATTCGTTGTGGAACTTCTCTCTTACTGATTAATTCGCTTGGGAATGAGTCACGATATATCTTTCCTCAGACTCATGTAGTTTGTGAAAACATTTCTGGATGATAACAATGGTTGCTCTTGTTCACCACATAACCGTCTTTCTGACAGAATGATCTTACAGCTTCAAGAAGAAGCAGGCATGGGCTTAAGATGCAGTCTACCAACAGCAAGTCCTGGCTAGAGATATTTTTGTTATCTGAAGCAAAACATCAAAAGCCCTACATGGCTTGGGGAATGGAGTGCCTGAGGGGGCGCTGTCTTCCCTACAGGCCTGCCCAGGAACCAAGGTCACAGGGAGAGGCCCTCCTGAGTGTTCCATCAATCAAAGACGCTCATGTAGCAGGTGCATGAGACAGGGCTGTTCCAGTGGCAGCCCCCCGATTATGGAAAACCACCCCAGGGAGGTGCGCCTGGCCCCCTCACTGTTGACCTTCAGGAGGCGGTTTTATTTAGGACTGCATTTGATCCATTTACTAGCAGTCCTAAATTGTGATTTCAAAATTTCTAATGTATTCGAGGCATTACATTTTATGTATGCTATCTATATTGTAAGCTGCCTTGAGTTTCTTAAGGGAAAAAAGGCAGCTAATAAATGTTTTAAATAATAAATAAAATTCTAGCTGCTGTGGCCTGGAACTTAAAAAAAAAACGCCACCCTATACAGACTGTGAAGGAGGGAGAAAAAGGTAAAATGTGAATGAGCCATAGTGCAGCCCTGCCAGTGAATGGTAAAGAACTGTGGGGAATGTTTGACTCCGTGCTGAGCCAGCACAGCTTTTTTCAGCTGAAGTCTCCAAAAGTTTGCATTCCTCACCTCATAGGGCAAACTGACCTTTAACACAGATCCTGTTTCCTTAAACTATAGTAGTCCGCAGTTCATATTGCATTGGTAGAGTACCATAGATAAGGTAGTAGTATTCTTAAAGCTAATGGCAGAAAGTGAAGAGGATCTTAAGAGCCTCTTGCTCAGGGTAAAAGAGGAGAGCGCAAAAGTGGGCTTGAAGCTCAACATCAAAAAAACTAAGATCATGGCATCCGGCCCCATCACTCCTTGGCAAATAGAAGGGGAAGTCGTGGAAGTAGTGACAGAATTTACGTTCCTGGGATCCCAGATCACCGCAGACTGTGACAGCAGCCATGAAATTAAAAGACGCCTGCTCCTTGGGAAAAAGCGATGGTGAACCTAAACAGCATGATAAAAAGTAGAGACATCACCCTGCCAACAAATTCCGCATGGTCAAAGCAATGGTATTCCCAGTAGTCATGTATGGCTGCGAGAGTTGGACTATAAGGAAGGCCGAGCACCAAAGAATAGATGCTTTCGAATTATGGTGCTGGAGAAGACTCTTGAGCATCCCTTGGACTGCCAGGAGATCAAATCAGTCGATCCTAAAAGAAATCAACCCTGTTGCCTGGAAGGCCAGAGACTGAACCTGAAGCTCAAATACTTTGGCCACCAAATGAGAAGGGAGCACTCACTGGAGAAGACCCTGATGCTGGGAAATATTGAAGGTCAAAGAAGACGGGGATGGCAAAGGATGAGATGGTTAGACAGAGTCATAGATGCAACGAACATGAAATTGAGCCAACTTCAGAGGACGGCGGAAGACCGGAAGGCCTGGCGTGATCTGGTCCATGGGGTCGCGGAGAGTCGGACTCAACTGTGCGACTGAACAACAACATTCTTAAAGCATGTTAAGAAGGAAGTATAGATTGCTTTTCTATTGGTTTAGATTTGGTGTAGTATTGAGTTGTCATTGTGTAATTCGTGTAACAGTTCTGCAAGACCCTGATGTTGATTTGCCTATATAGGCTTATGCTTTTGTCTGTAAAGTTGTCTGTGGCTTGAACTTTGTAGGGATACTTTCCTTGACCATGGTCTACCAAATAAAGACTTTGCTTCTACTGAATACAGATTCAGGTAGGTGGCCATGTTGGTCTGAAGCAACAGAACAAAGTTTGAGTCCAGTGGCACCTTTAAGAACAAGGAAGTTTAATTCTGTGTGTAAGCTTCCATGTGCATGTATCTGAAGAAGTGTGCTTGCACACGAAAACTTATACCCAGAATTAAACTTTATTGGTCTTAAAGGTGCCACTGGACTCAAACTTTGTTCTTCTGAACATAGTTTTACTTATTTGGATCCCTCCAATTAAACCCAAATTATGCCATCAACTGGTAAAGGAAAATGGCAGCCTTTTGGAACTTGCTGGCTGAAACAAGTACTTCACATTGCTTCGGTGTACAATGATCACTCCCAACAAATACAGAAAGTGACTAGCATGGTGTCCAAAAGTTAAGGTTATGTTGACACTGAAGTGTTTGTTTGTTTTTTAAAAGCAGATTACCCCAATGTAAATGTTTGGGATGAGGGTGTTAAGTATATTGGCTTTGATCTGATGAACACGTTGGTGACAAGAACATTAAAGATGAGATCCTAATGCGTTTATTATGAGAATCCCATGCTACATATTATTGTGAGGAATGTTATTTGAAAACATGCATATAATTTGGTTTTCTCAGCTTAATATTATGGAAAGGCACAATGCATCTCAAAATTGAGCTCATGAAGTTCAAGAGCAGAACTGTAAGGTCAGGTTTAAATCTCTATCTAAAATGAATGGTATTTAAAAGTTATTTATGTGAGCAGCAGGGCCAGTAGTCCCCAGAAGAACATATGACAGTAAATGGAAGCCTTGTCTAGATAAGACAAAGATGCTATTGGCTCTAGGGCTGATCAGGGGTTGTCCTGGATGGGGCTGCATTCCTCCTAAAAGAGCAGGTTCATATCTTTGTGCAGGGAAAACACTCTTTTTTTTTTGATTCTGCTGGTTTTCCCTTTTGTTTTTCAGTATGAGTACCATGGGTTCAAACAGAGATTCTTCTGGCCTTATTCTAAGAAGCTTGTTTATTTATTTTAAATTATTGTCATTATTATTATGAGAACAACCAAATAACAACGTATCGCACCAGTGAAGCAAACATCATTTGCACTAAAACAGCAGCAAGTAAGAGTAACATTTCAGCACCCTCAGAACAATAGCAGCAATTAAAAAAAAATTAAAAACCCCAAAACGTTTAAAGTGCTTTTAACAATTGGGTTTATACTGGTCCCTGATTTAATTTTACTGTTTTTTAAAAAGACTTTTTATTTTGCCTATTTTTTATGCCTGATTCTTTGGAAGCCACTCAGGAGCAAAATAATGAAGTATAGTCTAAAAGCCCATATTTCTATTTGCCTATTGCTGTAAAAAGCCAGTGTAGACTCTGAAGAAGTAATGTGCTTCTTGTGGTCCACTCCACCCAAGAGGACAAACACTGCATAAAAATACAGGGCAATTGGAGCATATCAAAACGTCCACGAACTCTGTGGAGCAGGGCTTTCTTGCTTCCCCCTCCTGCTGCAGTCCACTGGGTCCCACCTAATGTTGCTCCTGGGGGTGAGCAGACCTTCTGGAACAACATTAGGGGCAAACTGGGGGCTTGCAGTACGAGCAAGGAATCAGCTGAAATTGCTGCCCCCTTCTGCATTAGTCTTCAGAACTGTGTGGCTGGATATATGCCAACGATTTCATTTTATCATGTATTAGTCCTTTTGAGAAAAGACTGCAGGAGACTGAAAACATATTTAAATGCTTCCCATACTCACAACGTTTGAAATATTCTCATTCTGACAACTGAACATTCTGAGGAGGAGCCATTTAAGGACTGACCCATCTTTATACTTGTCCAGGCAGGCTGCTGAAGCATGAGGACTGTTTGAACAGGATGTTACACTCAACAGATCTTCATCTGATCCAGCAACACAATTCTTATGCTTTTCACGGTTTTTCTTTACAAAGGTGCTAAGTGCAATGTGCGTTCTTGCAGATGTGCATTTATACACACATGAATATGTATCCATGTTTCATTTATATATACCCAGTTTTCTTGCGTACAAAAATAGTACATTTGTTAGAAGAAGGAGATTGGATTTATACTCCACCCTTCACTTGGAGTCTTAGAGCGGCTCACAAACTCCTTTCCCTTCCCCTCCCCACAACAGACACCCTGTGAGGTAGGTGGGGCTGAGAGAGCTCTGACAGAAACTGCTCTTTTTCAAGAACAGCTGTGCCAGAACTATGGCTTGCCCAAGGTCATCCAGCACCTGCGAGTGGAGGAGTGGGGAATCAAACCTGGTTCTCCCAGATTAGAGTTTGCACACTTAACCACTACACCAAACATTATTAGTCTACTTTTTCTCCTTCTACATGGATGGTTTTTTTAAAACTCTGAACTATATACCTGGGGGAAAAGGTTATTTTCAATAAAAGATTAAGAAACAGTTGTGATGAATGCTTTCGTCTTGATTAAAGTTGCACTGGGTTCCAAAAGCGAGCTTGCACTTTTAATGATCTTACATCTTTTGCGGTGTCCACTCTTATGATTGTTTTCTGCGTCTTGCTGAGGGAGAAAAGGGGGAACACAATAAGCTTTACAAGGTTTTCACATTTGGTACAAGACAGGTAATCCTTCCCCTCTTGTATGCTGAGTGCCTTTGGCCACACTGAAGAGATTCCCCACAAACATTCCCTGAGCTTTTTCCTTCTTCAATGAGGTAGTACAAGACAGGTAATCCTTCCCCTCTTGTGTGCTAAGTGCCTTTGGCCACACTGAAGAGAATCCCCACAAACATTCCCTGAGCTTTATCCTTCTTCAATGAGGTCTCTGTTGCAATGCATCACACCATGAGGTCATCCCACACCTTGGATAAATGGAGGCCAGCTCCTCTCCTGTCTCCAGTACACAGCATACAGATGCTGCCTCTGGGAATAGCCTGTGTGGCAGGGGGAGATGACCACACTGTCAGGCAACTGCGTGTGAGGTATGGGTGGATTTCCTGTTATTGAAAATGGTGAATCTGTTAGTGAGCAAGTGGCATGGTGGCAGTGCACCTGATGGAAGAGAGTGGAATGCCTTCAGCATTCCTTCTTTTTTATTCCCCCTTCTCTTCCTTCCTTCCTTCCCCCAGGCTTTCCTTCAATTCCCCTTTTGCAAAACAAGGAGGGAGGTATCGTGTTTGGCTCCACCTCCTACGGCAGTCATTTTATGGTAGCCCTCGCAGCCCCCCTTTCAAAATTCCAAAGGAGCCTGTGGGTTCCAAGATGTTGGGGACACCTAGCCTTGACGAGAAGTTCTTTCATGACATTTTTGTACTTGCAAATATACTAAATACTGGTAAAAATCAGCTCTTATGCCAACTAGGGCATTGAAAATAGGAAAAAAGTATCTGCTTTACTTACCCCATAACTGTTTTGTTAGCACCTTTCCAAGGACGTAGAACGTTAGCACTATACAGTAGGCGATGGAAAAAAATACTATTTTCCCAGGTGTATTGAGAACTCCTAAAACTGGATATGCCCAAATACCAGATGCATAGTGTACCCACATTATCCTTAAAAACAAAGACATATAAACGTTACGATAGGGCATAATGAACCATAAACTGTGACAATTCATAGCTATTGTGTTGAAACCAAAGGTCCTCTCCCAGTAACAGAAGCTACGTCTGTTAACTTTAGCCCAAGTCGGTTTTTTGTAGATTTCCTTTCCCATTGTAGACCACCACTTTGCCTTCCATGTTGTTCCTGAATGTCCCCTATTCTGCAGTGGGCTGCAGCAGGAGGTAGGAAAGTTCCATTCCATTAGCAGAGCTTCACTGAAGGTACTTTGGATCCAACAATCAGCATTTATTCCTGAAACCACATGCAGATACCACTGCAAAGGCCAAGTCAAGGGTGAGATAATTCACTCCCTGTGAGGCACACTCAGCCCTGCCCTGGATGTCTCAGGCTAGCCCAATCACATCAGATCTTGGAAGCGAAGCAGGGTCACCCTGGTTAGTACTTGGATGGGAAGAACCCAGTAAGTCCAGGATTGCTGCATAGATGCAGGCAATGGCACACTACCTTTGAATGTCTCAACCTGAAAACCCTACGAGGTTGCCATAAGCTGGCTGTGACTTGATGGCATTTTAAAGCACACCTTTGTTCATTTTTTGTGACAAGAAGGAGACTGCTTTAAGAGGGCCTTTAAATTTGGTTACTTAAATTTGATCCTCTACCTCCTAGTTCTGATACTATGAACAGGGGTTTTTGGCTATGTTTTATGGAGTTTCATTTTGCTGGTTTTAATTATTGCTTGCTTGTCAAATGAAAAAAGAACATTGTGGAAGAGCAAAGGAAGAAGACATTTTGAAGAATAAGTACAGTTGTGTACTTTAGCATACAGAATTTGGTATCCTGAAATTCTCAGCTTTATTTGAAAAATATTGCAAGTTTATAATATTAATTTAAAATATTTTATCCCCTCTTTCAAAGGATCAAGGTCTGCAATACCACCAGGTATTAAGTTGCCTGGTGGTTGCTGCTGGCCCCGACCCTGATGAGTCCTTTCTCAAAGACCAAAGCAGCCCTGGAAAGTGCCCTGCCTCCTCCCGCTGCCATTTACTGACAGAAATCAAGGCTTGAACTGACAATATGGTCATGGTTGCCTAGCAATGGCCACAGAGACACATTCATGTCTTACAGCTACAGTCACCAATGTTCCCTCTAAGCTGTGGAGTCTTGTGAGCAAAAATTCTACTTTGTGAGTGACTGGCACCAAAATTGTGAGCCAGCGATTTGGCTACTGCATAAATTAGTTTGCTCTGGAGCCATCCTTCCTGAGCTAAGACAAAAACATGTGAGCCGGAGGCTAAAAAACTGTGAGCTAACTCACACTAACTCAGCTTAGAGGGAACACTGACAGTCACTACTTATATTATTGGTGTGGGGGGGTTAAACCCCTCCAATGTATTTTTCTTTTTAGAGTTCAGATTTTTCTGAAAACCTGGGGCTTTTCTCAGGTTTCTAGAGAGATGTGTCATGCCTGCTCTTGGCTCCAGCCTCCAGATTTAAGTATCCACAGATATGATTACCATGAGAGTTAGATATATTTACCAAGCATTGTCATTCTGTTTGCCATGCATGTTAGACTGACAGTGCAAACCTATGCAATGTTTCTAAATTCATCGTAATCAATGGGTGAAGGGCCAAACTACATGGCATCCCAACCCAACTCACTTCCCCTACAGCAGCTGTGGGGAACTTACTTCCCCAAATGTTGCAAAGCCTGGTTTGGATCAATCACAGCACCATGAACATATGAAACTGCTGTATACTGAATCAGACTTTTGGTCCATCAAAGTCGACTTTGTCTACCAGACTGGCAGCAGCTCCCCAAGGTCTCAGGCAGAGGTCTTTCACATCACCTACTGCCAGATCTTTTAACTGGAGATACCGGGGACTGAACCTGGGACCATCTGCATGCCAAGCAGATGATCTACCACTGAGCCACAGCCTCTCCCTTCCCCTTCCACCAGGGGAAGAAGAGCTCCAGCCCTTCCTGTACCATTTTCCCAGAACAAAAAAGGCTTTGGGAAGTTTTACCTATCCTATTGCAAGACTGCACATGCACTGAAATGGGGCAAAATATGCCCTCCACAGGCTGTTTTGGCTCAAGAAACAATAATTTATCAGACAAGATTTATTAACAAAACGGGAGAGAGATTAAAAGCAAGAAGGGAATACACAAATAAGATGATTATATTTTTTCCTGTGCAGTTCAACAGATATGGTATTTAAGGCCCGATAAGTATGGCCCTAGCTTGGGATAGGTGAGGCCACGTTTACTGTAACTAAAATGTTACTTGAACAGAATATATTATTTGCATGTTGTTTACTTGCAAATACAGTTTAGGGCTAAATTCACGGTAAATTATAGTAAATTCGTTCGGAGAAAAGAAATTATTACTAAAGTACTTCCATATGGTAGCTTGCATATAACATGTACCATTGTTTAGCTGCTTTTAAAATCATTCAGCTAATGTAAACAGAACAATATATTTGAGCAGGATTCATAAATGTTTTCTATTTCAAGTATATTTGGCAAAAGACTGCCTACCTACCAGCAGAGGTATGTAAATGTGAAGACAGTAAGTCCAAAAATTCCCTCTGTCGGATGAATGTATTTATGTGGGCATATTACAAGCTCTATGAAAAGCAGCGGCAGGATGGTAGTATGCTAAAATTAAAAACACACACAAATGTAAGACCTGGAATGGCACATGACAACAAAATTACATCGACTGTTCATTATATTGGCTTCAGTAGTTGTATACATATTATTCTACATTTGTTCCACGCTTTTCACCAAAAATCCTCATTAATTTGATTTGCTTCCTTCCCTATTGCTGAAGCTTCTGTCTCTGTGAAGTGATAAAGATACCCACATGGATAACATCATAGGAAGAAATGTGCAAAACTTCACATTGTGAAAACCCCCGGGGGGGGGGGGGGGGGGGGAATAAAATCCTACATTTTTATCCCAGGCATAAATATTCACAGTACAATCCTAAACTGTATGAGTTACACCCTTTTAAGCGCACTGACCTCAACAGAAGGGTCTAACTCTGCTTAGGACTGCACTGCTAGAATAGAATGCTAGTACAAACCATTATAGTATTCATGCAACCATCCTGACAGTGTGCAGGGCAGCAATTGGTATGTGTCTTCCTTGCTTCTTGGTACAGCTAATATTAGGATATGGTCATCTGCTTGAGACAAATATCAGTGCAATCTGACTTGTTGACTTCTCTCCAAAATTCGCCATTTGGAAGTAGTTCGTAGCTATTCTTCCAGAAAACCCACACTGGCAACCCTCCTCCTCCAAAAAACCCACAAAACCCCCAGCTAAATCAATGAGGTGTAGAACCAGGTGGTATAGAGGTGTGGGACTGGGGAGATCTGATTCAAATCCCTGTTTGCTATAAAACTTAGTGACTTTCCTTGGACCACTCATTATCTCTCAGTCTACAGTAAAGTAAAGAGCCAGTTTGGTGTAGTGGGAGAGCCAGTTTGGTGTAGTGGTTTCAGTGCACGGACTCTAATCTGGGAGAACCGGGTTTGATTCCCCACTCCTCCACTCGCAGGTGCTGGATGACCTTGGGCAAGCCATAGTTCTGGCACAGCTGTTCTTGAAAAAGAGCAGTTTCTGTCAGAGCTCTCTCAGCCCCACCTACCTCACAGGGTACCTGTTGTGGGGAGGGGAAGGGAAAGGAGTTTGTAAGCCGTTCTGAGACTCCTTTGGGTAGTGATGGGCGGGGTATAAATCCAATCTCTTCTTCTTCTTCTAAAACACTATACTCAGGACAGTGCAGTGAGGTGTTTCCACTATCCCCAGCACTGGTTGTCTCAGCATTCTCTAAAAAGGATCCTGGGGTCGGGGGGAGTGCTATGTGTCTCTGTACACAGAATGTTCATTATTCTTCCCAAAGTTCTTCTTGGACCTTTTCTCCAACCATAATTCGCCTATCAGAATAATAGGCATTTTGCTACTAAAGTAAAGTACTTTCTTTCCTCCACTGCTTGTACTTCTGACCCTTATATAACTTCACAGGATTCCTAGAACATCCCATAAATGTGACAGAGAAAGGGAAAGAAGAGCCCTATCACAGATCATTGGAAGATAAAGTATCTATAAACTAAACTTCTATGAAATTTATTTTACTGTATGTATTATGACTACAGATATTAAAAGCAAGACTATATACTTACCATAGAATGATTAAGCCACGTTGGATTAACATCATCCAGTTCTCTAGGGTACACTAGTTCTCGGTCATATGCATAGAGACCCCAGAAAACAACAGCTACAAACTAAGGTAAAAACATACAAACACTTACAATGAGAAAATGCACACTTAACAAACAGTTATGGCTATCGAACATTTCTTAAATGACCAAAATATTTTTCTTAAGTATTTTCCTTCATTCTTACAAAAAAGTCCGCTTACAATATTTACTTATTTATTTTATGGATTTAATTTTTTTAGCCAATACCTCTATTAAAGATGCTTATGGCAGCTTAATAATTACTGAAATGGACAACAATGACGAAAAGCGAATATATAGGTAAATGTCAGTATTAATTTCACATAAAGACAAAATAAAGCAGTATCTAAAATCAGCTAAGATCAGTCTATAATAAAATAGCATCCAAATTCAGCAATTAGCAATTAAAAAAGAGTCACAAGGTTCTTATGCAGAATAAATTGTATGTGCCCAGTTGATCGTCCCAGTCCTTTTGTTATTAATGATCATTTGTGCAGAGCTTGAAATAGGATTTTAACCCATACCTAATACATAGACACACAACCCCTCTCTGAAGCTGGGGGGGGGGGATGCCCTATCCCTTTAACAGAAGCTTAAGGTGATGTTGTTTACTGGATGTTATTTAGGATACAGGAAGCTGCCTTATCTGGAATCAGACTATGGGTCCATCACAGTCAGTATTGTCTACTCAAGACTAGCAGCAGCTCTCCAGGATCTCAGGATGTCTTTCACATCACCTACTACCTGATCCTTTCAACTGCAACAAAAAAGGCCAACGCTATGCTGGGGATTATTAGGAAGGGAATTGAAAACAAATCAGCCAGTATCATACTGCCCTTCTATAAATCAATGGTGCGTCCTCATTTGGAGTACTGTGTACAGTTCTGGTCACCACACCTCAAAAAGGATATTATAGCATTGGAAAAAGTGCAGAAAAGGGCAACTAGAATGATAAAAGGATTGGAACACTTTCCCTATGAAGAAAGGTTAAAACGCTTGGGGCTCTTTAGCTTGGAGAAACGACGGCTGAGGGGTGACATGATTGAGGTTTATAAGATTATGCATGGGATATAGCAGGTCGAGAAAGAAGTACTTTTCTCCCTTTCTCACAATACAAGAACTTGTGGGCACTCCATGAAATTGCTGAGTGGTTGGGTTAGAACAGATAAAAGGAAGTACTTCTTCACCCAAAGAGTGATTAACACATGGAATTCACTGCCACAGGAGGTGGTGGCGGCTACAAGCATGGACAGCTTCAAGAGGGAATTGGATGAACATATGGAGCAGAGGTCCATCAGTAGCTATTAGCCACAAGGTATAGATAGG